CACAAGAAAGTATAAAAGAAACATCTCCCTACATCCAACTGCCGGGTCACACGGCTGGGAGATGCTCTGCCTTGACCTGGCTTCCTGGGCTATATTTATTACCACCCTCCGCAACGAATATACAAAAACGAAGGGACTCTGGGGTCAAAAAAGGTCAGGACACCTTTCTCAATAGAGGGCGGTATCTCCTTCCCTCCCATTAAGTTAGTTTTACTTAAAAGATACTTGTAAAAACCCCTCCAAACAATTTAAAAAGGACGGAGTAGCTTTAAGACTAATATATTAGTAACACGAGAGGAAGGATACTGCCTTCCAAGGGACGGAATGTGCTCATTCTTATGAATAGTAAAAAGAAAACGAGTAAAAATTTATATAAAAAAAATTTTTAATTAAGAATCAATAAGTCATAAGAGTAACATCAGCCAACACAAATAAAATAATCCATTTCCGGCCTCCAGACATCTCCCGCGACCGGGGCACCGTAATATATTGCGTGACCAGGGGTAACTCTGGTATTTCCGTCTATGTGTCCTGTTCCCCCATGAATCCCATCACCGTGAAGCGGTCTATGTGTCCTGTGCCCCCCATGAATCCCATCACCGTGAAGCGGTCTATGTGTCCTGTGCCCCCATGAATCCCATCACCGTGAAGCGGTCTATGTGTCCTGTTCCCCCATGAATCCCATCACCGTGAAGCGGTCTATGTGTCCTGTGCCCCCCATGAATCCCATCACCGTGAAGCGGTCTATGTGTCCTGTGCCCCCCATGAATCCCATCACCGTGAAGCGGTCTATGTGTCCTGTGCCCCCATGAATCCCATCACCGTGAAGCGGTCTATGTGTCCTGTGCCCCCCATGAATCCCATCACCGTGAAGCGGTCTATGTGTCCTGTGCCCCCCATGTATCCCATCACCGTGAAGCAGTCTATGTGTCCTGTGCCCCCCATGAATCCCATCACCGTGAAGCGGTCTATGTGTCCTGTGCCCCCCATGAATCCCCTCAACCCTTACCATCACTTTTTATATATATGTAGATAGATAGATAAATGGATGGATAGATAGATATGTATATATACATATATATGCACACACACACACACACACACACACACACACACATATATAAATATATATATAAATATATATATTTATAATATATATATATATATATATATATATATATATAGTATTATATATATATATATATATATATATATATATATTATATATATATATAATATATATATATATATATATATATATACTGTGCCCCCATGAATGAAGGTGATGGGATATATATAATATAATATATATATATATATATATATATATATATATATATATATATATATATACATATATATATATATAATTATATATATATAATATATATAATTATATATATATAATTATTTTTTATTTATTTATGTAAGTGTATGTTTGTGCGTGTGCGTTTGGACAATAAAATTCTACCATTTATTCTGTTTCATTGCAGGACGTCAAGTCAAGACCTCATTTTCGCCTTCGCTAAAATGGCCCATTTAGGGAGAAAATACCAAATCATATTATATTTGCGAGGATTATTGCGAGAAACAGCAGTCGAGTAGAGAAAATAGTCTGTAATAAGATGGCTCGTCAGCTACCTTCAGTGTCAACGTTGACACTATCGAGGTCAAGAGCATTTCGAAAAATAAAATTTCGTGACCATCAAAAAGCATGATCATTTTATTCATGATTTTATTCACCTTTTCTATTCCTATTTTCTATTTTCTATTCTATTTTCGTGTGAGTGTGTGCCGATGGATTTCTCTGTAGAAGAAAACTAATGAAAACCAAAGCAATTAGCAGACTCCAGGTTTTTCCGTATCAGTCTAATGTGGAAAGACAAAGGAAGTAAAACTGTTTAAAAGACGTGAAAGTAGTGACGTAGTAATAGCAGGCGATAATTTGTTCTATTTTAATACCCTTTTTTGATAGCATGTCATTATTTCTCTCTCGCTGTCTGACAATTTATTCTCTCTTACTCCATCTCTCTCTCCTTTCCGTCTCTCTCTCTCGAACAAATTGCAAAAGGAACAACGAAGGGAAGAACACGCAAAATACACGAATATTCATGTTCTCCTGTTCTTCCCTCCGTTCATTTTGCTCTCTTTCTCACTCTCCCCCCCCCTCTCTTCCCCACCTTTCCCACATTTCTCCCAAAAACCTTCCCGTTCTCCTCCCCTTCCGTCCCCTTTCCCTTGAACCTTGAGCCTGATACAAAGGCAATCCAAAACCCTATCACATAAGTTGTGTAAATAAGCATTATACCTAATTACAAAGTACGAATCCAGTGATACTTCACATTATTTGTGCACTCGACCTGTCTTACTTATCTCTTATTTCGTGGTCAAGTAGATTTGTTTGTTTAAATCAATCGTTATATAGATAATAGATAGATAGAGAGAGAGAGAAGTTTGTCAGCAAAAATGTGTAAGCAGAACGTAAACGATGCAGGTTACG